AGATGGGGACCAAAACACGACTTTCTTTCACTCGAGTGTCATTCAAAGGAAAAATTTCAACCGAATACTCAGTCTGAAGATTCAAGATGGAAAAATGGAGTGATGATGAAGAGAGGCTCAAAGATCATTCGGTTCAGTATTACCAGGACCTTTTTAAAGTAAGGGACCAAACACATTTTGAACATATTCTGGATGGCTTCCCGTCTCTGGTGACAGCTGAAATGAATCAGAAACTATGTGAGCCAGTCACGAATGATGAGATCCGTAGAGCAGTGTTTGACCTTGGCTTCACAAAGGCTCCAGGAACGGATGTATTCACAGGGCACTTCTTTCGTAGTTTCTGGCCTACGATTGAGGAAGGATTCTGCAAAGAAATCAAGGATTTCTTCTTGAATGGTCGACTACCAGAAGGGTGGAACAAGACTCATATTACCTTGGTGCTTAAGATGGAGAAGCATGAACTTATAAGCTAATTCCAGCCGATAAGTTGCTATAATTTCCTGTACAAGGTAATCACAAAGATTATGACTTCAAGACTTCAACAGTGGCTGCCAGCGCTAGTCTCAGAGCTACAGACAACATTCACCGGAGGGAGGCAGATTAAAGATAATATTGCGATCGTACATGAAGTCCTCAACCACTTCAAGAAACACAAACAGGAAATAGAAGAGACATGATGCTCAAGTTGGACATGAGAAAAGCTTGCGTTCTTGTGGATTGGAATTGTCTTATTCGGCTTCTTTCACCCTATATTTTTGACCAGAAATGGTGTAACTAGATTAAGGAATGCATCACTATGGTGAAGTTCTCTATTCTATTCAATGGAGAGGCAACAACGGAGTTCACCCCAGAAAGAGGCATTCGTCTGGGAGACCCACTTTCCCCCTGTTATTCATTTTAATGTCTAATGCACTTTCATTCTTAATTGACCAAGCTGTTTCTGACAACCAGATTAGGGGGGTGAAGCTTAACCAACATTGCCCACTACTTACCCACTGCCTGTTTGTTGATGACACTATCATTTTTGGGAAAGTCACACAGGTGGAGGAGACAAAGATCATGGGAATCATTGAGAACTATAGAGCAATCACGGGAGAGGAGGTCAATGGGAAGAAGTCATCTATCTTCTTCACCCACAATCTTCGACGAATGAAAGAGAGAGTATCATCAACACCATTGGTTTCACACCTTCCAACTGCCATTCTCAGTACCTCGGAGTGACTACAGAATGGGGAAGGTCCAAGAAAGAAACCTTCCAATTCCTAATCTAAAGAATGAAAAGGAAAGGAGAAGGATGGAAAAGCCTTTTTACTTTCACCAAGAGGAAAAGAGACGCTACTCAAAGTAGTTTTCCAAGCATTGCCTACATTCATTATGTGCCTTTTCCTACTTCCAGACTGGATTACAAAGAAGATGGATTCACTCCTTAGAAGGTTCTTTTGGTCGGGATCCCTACAGAAAAAGTCGATCCACTGGGTGAAGGGAACCTCCCTATGCATTCCCAAAAGTGAAGGGGGCATCGACTTTCGGATGTTTAAGGAATTTAACCTAGCATTACTGGTGAAACAAGCATGAAGGCTCCTCATGTCCCCCACTTCCCTCTGGGCTCGTCTTCTGAAAGGACTTTACTTTTCAAGAACGGATTTCAAGAATGCAAAGAAGGGGTCACAACCATCATGGATATTGTCCAGCATTTGGGAGGCCAGGAAGAGAATGAAGAAAGGAATTGTGAGAGTTATCGGAAACGCGGAGGAAACAAGGGTGTTTCATGATCCATGGATCCCAGATCTTGAGGGCGATTGTTTACAAGGATTCCCGTCCAACCAAGTGAATGTGGCAAAATGGATTGATCCCATTTCCAGAGAGTGAAGGGGGCAAGAACTGACAAGTCATATCCTTTCGGAGCAAGAGAGCATGATTAGGAATATATCTATTGGCTTACATGATGCAAATGATTTTGGGCATGGAAACCCAATCCCATGGGCAAGTTTACAGTGAACTCTGCCTACCATTTCTTCTCAGAAATCAAGAGAACTGAATCTCAAAATGGTAACACCATTACCCCAGAAGAGAAGGGGAGATGGAAATGGTTATGGAGCCTTTCTCTACCCCCCCCCCCCCAGATGAAATTTTGTATTGGAAATGTTCTCGAGGTGCACTTACTACAAAAAGGAAGCTGCATAATCGTCATTGTGCACCAAACTCAGCATGCCCGGTTTAATACTATCAGGATGAGACTCTCCATCATTGCCTTTTCCAATGCTAGCATGCTGTTGAGGCCTGGAATCATGTCTTTCCTTCTGTCGCTACCCCTCCACCACTGCTTAATGTTCTCAACTGGCTTTTCAACCTCCATCAGTCAATGAAAATGACAAATGTGCAGAGGATTGTCTTTCTTTTGTGGCAGACTTGGAAGACAATAAATGAAAAGGTCTTCAAGGTGACTCAACCATGGCCCCCATTAATATGCACCAATGCTACCGATAACTTCAACCAGTGGGTTTCGTGCCCGAAACCCATCAGAAACCAACCACTTTTCGCCCACCAGTCTAGGGTAACCCAGAACTAAGTATCTCCACCGCCGAGCAATCCCGATTTCGAGATTCACTGTGATTGGTCATTCATAAATGGCTCCCAGAAGGCAACTTATGGCATTATCTGCATCAATAGCCATTGTGAAGTTTGTGAAGGGAATACTGGTACTCTACTTTGTTCATCTCCACTAGAAGCGGAAGCAAAGGCTCTGCTTGAAGCGATCCTGCATGCCAAGCCCAGGCTGTCCCCTGTCTCGTCAGAACGGACTGCCTCAACCTGGTCTTAGCTCTTGCTGCCCCTCGCACCTCTTAGCCTTCGAGGGGTTCGGCTTGGCTGTGGATCATGTGCGACACCCTACGACGATGTAGTTGTGTCAGAGTAGCTTCCTTCAGACGCAAGTTTAACTCTAGAGCTGACTGGGTAGCTAGGTCTTTAGCTCGCAATGAGCTACCCCAGGATTGGATTACCATTTTGAACCTGATCTCCCCTCTCTTGTAATCCTCTCTCCTGTATAACCGCTTCTCTTGGAATGAAACAAAGTTCTCAGTAAAAAAAAAGTGATTGTCTATTGACATATGATAGTTATTCTATATAGTGTGTAGTGTGCTACTGTTAATCCAAGTCAAGATGAGGGAAAACTATATTGTTCCTTCAATCCTCAAACCCTCAAACAAATGCGACTAGAACTAAGATGCAGCTAAGCGAAAAGAGAGAACCAAACCATTGGCATTACCAACAAAGACAAGTTAATATATCAAGAGCATCACTCATACTTAATTTTTTGGGCAATGTCTATTTTTTACCCAAACCTTTTTCAGATTCTTTTATTTTAACCAAACCTATTGAATTCCTAAAAATTATCCAAACGTTAACTCTCCGTCAACTTTTCTGTTAGTAATGCTGACTAAGTATGACCATAATGAGTTGACTTCTTACGTGGCGGTCAGAATACCATCATTTACTATTTTTAATAAAAAGATTATAAAAAAACAAAACAAAATCCCACCTCTCACGTGGACGAAATAAGTAACGGTAACAGAATGAATGCCCAGACTTTGATAAATTATAATACGTTTGGATAATAAATAGAATTTCTATAGGTTTGGTTAAAATAAAAGAATCTGAAAAAGGTTTGGGTAAAAAATAGACATTGCCCTAATTTTTTCACCATTACCTTTCTCCGTTGATCTTGTATTTCTTTGCCAGTTCTCCAAGTCCTTTTGTTGAACAAAGACATGTTAATATTTCAAGAGCGGCACTAACCTCCTCTCTTGATCAAAGTCTTCACTACATCTCGTACGATATGTACAAATGAGACTCATTTCATTTAAGACTTACAAATTAGGTTTATAATTTAAGCTTTTATCAAATTCACATACCAATGTGAGATGTTGTATACATCCAAAATATGGAGCGTAATATATCAGGATCAACATTAAACTCTCATTTCGTAGAACCTTGATCAATATCTATAGGCATCTCTAGGTCAATATGTGGGACAAGTTCAAGTAACAATATATTCTGCTTTGATAGATCTATAAGTAAGGTACTCTAGAGCCAACAATCATTGTTGTCCAAACTTTGACTGCATTGACAACAAAATTTATCGATCAAGAGTTGATTGCATTGACAACTAAACCTGAATTAATGTCTTATCTCACGAATGAAGAACAATTGGATAATGATTGAGTGATTTAGGTGAAATATTACCTTGACTCTATATTGATGTTTCATAGATCTAGGATAATCTAGTGTCAGTGATCACCAACATAAAAATCTTTTATAAAACCTAAAATTAGTTTATCCTTGATGTTCAATCAGATAATCAAATAAACTAGTCAAACCTATTTTTTGTCTTGAAAGGAATGAGAGTGAATGTGTCTCTCTTTGTGGAGCCATACAATTTTGACTCGTATAACAAGTTATAACAACTAAACCAAAAATTCAGCAAATGTAAAAATGGCACAAGCACCTCCAGCAGTAGGAGAAAATAGAATATTCTGTTGATGATCCTGTAACAGCCCACCACCAGCCAAGGGGAGGAAGGTGAGAAATACATGGCATTACATGGAATCTTAAACCTTTCTTAGCAAAAACAAAGGAAAAAATGCCAGTTTTTCTCCTCCACTCTTCTTTTGTAAATATAGCCCACCCACCATTGAAGAGCTCATCTTCCCATTAGTTAGCTTTTTAAAAATGTATAAGAGATTGTATGGAGCAAATTAGCACAATAAAATTAGTTTGATTCAATCCCTAGCAGACTAATAATATATCGATATTAAAAAAATTAGTCGACACATACCAGGTGATATACCATGAGGTTGTCAAGTTATCATGTTTTTTCTAACATGTTGTTCTAGTAGATACAAACATTTTCTCAATACAATGAGGCAGTTTAAGACGGTACCACAATCCAAAATTTAATACTTACCATTTAGAGCAGAAAGAAAAATGGACACGTAATGCAAAATAAAGGAATTTTTCCATGAGGTCACCAGTTTTTCATCACTATTTATTCGCAACAAGACACCTTCTTCCCCATTAGTCCACCAGCCAGCAGCAGCTCCAAAACCCTAGATCCTTTCCCATCTCTTCTTTTTTGTTCTCCAGTTGTTGGGAAGGAAGGAAGGAAGGAAGGGAGAGCCTGGCTAGCTTGACTTCTATATTTTATTTCTTGCTTTTCAAGGTTTCCTTCCCCCATATCATTCATCACTCTGTAAAAAAGGGGGAAAAATAGAATAGAAAAAGGAAGGAAAAACAACCCAAACTGTACCCATTACCCAACACTCACTCACTTCACAACCCCAAACGCACGTAAAGTTAGAGACTTTCCTTTGATTCTTCCAAAACCCAGTTGCCAGATCTATATGATTTCTTAAACCCACATTCTCTCTCGGGTTTTCCTTAAGCTCATTCATTCATTCATCAGTTTACGCGGACAAGAACAGATATTAACCGATTTTTCTCTGTTTGCTGGATTCTCTTTAATGCTGTGCTACGATTCTACCCATTGGCTAGTTAATGAATGATATGAAGTAAATTTCGTATCTTGGCTCTTGAATTTGCTTGTTTTGCGTTATTTTGAGCTGATTCCCAGCTTGATTTTGTGCGATCCGCTTTGAAATAGGTGAGGGAGTTTGCTGGAGGTTTTAAAGGAGATTCTGGGAAAATTCTCTGGAGCTACAGCAATCTAATATAGATCTGAGGCTTTTCTAGCTGGCCATGTTTTCTGCCTGATAGTCGTACAAATTGTGGGTTAGTTGTCGGGTTTTTCTTTGAGGAAATGGCTGTTCCATCAGGTAATGTGGCGATGTCCGATAAAATACAGTATGGTGGTGGCGGCAGTGTGGGCGGTGGCGGCGGAGCTAATGAGATCCACCCTCGACAGCAGTGGTTCCCTGTGGACGAGCGTGATGGGTTCATCTCGTGGTTGAGAGGGGAATTCGCTGCTGCAAATGCGATGATTGATGCTCTCTGCCACCATCTAAAGGCCGTCGGTGAGCCGGGGGACTATGATTTAGCTATAGGTTGTATTCAGCAAAGGAGGTACAACTGGAACCCGGTGCTTCATATGCAGCAGTATTTCTCTGTTGGTGAGGTGGTATTCGCATTGCAGCAGGTAGCGTCAAGGCGGCAGCAACTGCAGCAGCAGCAGCAACAACCGCAACATCACCAGTACAATAGATACTATTCTGATCAGCCCAGGGCTGTTGCCAAAGAATTCAAGAGGTCTTTTGGTGGTGCAGGGTTTAACAAAGGCCATAGAGGGAGTGAAGCACCAAAAGAGTATGTTCGTACTAGTTTAGAGAGTAACAATTTAGATGGCAATGGTTCAGGAAATGTGAGTTGTGAGACAAAGGAGGATCCTAAATCAGGCGCGAGTAATGGTAAAATGGACGAGAAGGTTTCAGCAGTTGCCCAGGATAAGAAAGGTAATCACTGTAGTTTATGGTTGCTACTGATTTCTGTTTAGCGTTTATGGCATGGTGTATGCTTCCGTTAACCCTGGCTTATGGTAGAATTGTTCTGCACACCCCCATTTGGCCATTTTGAGATTTAAGTGACAATATTGAATGTGTTTGGAACCACCTGTCTTGTATTGAATGATTTCAAGAAGTATGGAGCTTTCCTAAATGGGCAAGATATCTATATATGTGCTGGTATAGAGGGTCTTATTTGGAGGCAAAGATAGATTATGGCAGGGGGTCTTTGTGGTAAATTTGGACCTTTGTTTGTTACTGACTGATAAGGAAGGCGTCCAACTCCCTTAGATTGCAATTCTGTTGTACATCGATGTGATTTTTCTTCAGAATTTAGGTAAAACTCCATGGTATTTGTGGTTTCTGCTGCAACTGTTTTGCACTTTACTGCAATGGACACCTGTTGTGACAATTTGTTGTGCTATATGACCAGGAGACTCTTATAAATGTATATATTGCATATTGCTACTCTGAATTTGACTGTTATACTGAACTCTGGAATAGTACTTGGCACCCTCTTTCCATGATGAGGTGATCAACATTATTGGTTCAATTGCCAAAGTAGGTTCCTTCTGGCATGCTTGACCCTAAAGAAACAAAAACGTCAATGAAAATTCGAGAGTGTCAGGAGTAGCCCCCCACCTTGATTTGTTTTTTTCTTTTTTCCCCCAATTTCAGGAAAAAGAAAGATCCATTAGTCTTTAATTCTAAGCCTTTAGGTACTCACAATTGTGTCCTACTTATTAAGCTACTAGGAACCCTCATAGGAAAGACAGTACAACTGTTGAGAAAATAGCAGCTGGTAATCTGTTGATTTGCTAATTTCCTGGGGGGACATTCTGGGCTAGGCATGGTGAACTTTATATCTAAAATGCGATTGAGTTGCATCCGCAAAATCCTAGTGCTGGTGCATAAAATCATGGATTGTCAACATACCTTGAAATTTTTGGAGGAAGTACTGATACCTGTACTTACTGGTTATTGAAGCAGATGCTACCACATTGCCACACAAGGATAGCTACTTAAAGAGTGGTCGAACCTCAGAAGAAACAGTGTCTGGGAATTCAGAACCTGAGTCTGTGGCTGCTGATGATCAACTTATTCCCAAAGGTGTTCCTTCATTATCTCTTTGGCTGGCAAGCTGTGCCCATTTCTCTCATTTCAGCCTTTGTATTTCTTTTCCCATTGCGGCGGGGTAGGGATGTCAATGACATGATTACTCCTCAAGCCGTATAAATTGACATCTGTAGAGAACGAAGGAAACTAAACTTTTCCGAGTTAAGTCCAATTAGCATTTGTGCTTGTCAGGCATCCAGGGTTCATTATCACTCTGTTCCACTTGTATTCTCTCTAAGAAGTTCCTTTTGGGGGTATCACACTGTCGTTATTGTTACTATGCCTGTTATTGTATTGTTGTTCGAGTGTTTTCTAGTTTGGAACTTTTCTTGTGGTAATGCAAAATCTTATCTGCAGAGAACAGCTCGGTTATCAGTCAGAATCAGAATGAGATGCCAAATCCCAGTGGCAGTCCAAAGACTTTCATTGGAACAGAGATAATTGATGGAAAAACGGTAACTTTTGTGACTGAATGACTTTAGTATTTCTGTTCTTTTTCAGAAGGACTGATTCTGGATAGTAGATTCTCTTTTTCTTAGGGGTTCTCTTCTTCTTTCTCTTCTCTTAAGATGTGCTGATTTCTGCTGTAGGTTAATGTTGTCGATGGATTAAAGATGTATGAGCGGTTGCTTGATGACTCCGAAATTCCGAAACTGGTTTCGTTGGTTAATGATCTGAAGGCTGCAGGCAGAGCAGGGAAATTTCAAGGTAAGTTCATTAAGGGTGCGTTTGGATACAATGATTTGAATTTGGTATTTGTGATTTGGATTTCCAAATACCAAATCATGTGTTTGGATATTAATTACATTTGGTATTTGGATTTGTGTCAAATTCATGGAAAAAATCCCACTGTACACATGTTTTTAAAAAAAATTCTCAAAATACACATGTTATGAAAAAAATTCCCAATCTACGCATGTTTGGGCCTTCACCGCGTCAGACTAACGCGGTGATTGCTTCACCGCGTTGAAGAAGAGCGGTGAGTGCATCACCACGTTAGACAAACACGGTGATAGCATCACCGCTGTAGACAAACACGGTGATTGCTTCACCGCATTCAACGGCCGCGGTGAAGGCCTGACCTGCGTCGAATATTTAAAAAAACGTAATTTTGTGCTCGGTTATCCGATCGTAGTGAAATTTTTTTTGATTCCGCATAATTTTTCGAGATCTTGCAAGCCGCAAACGCCGTAGGCGGTTTGGTCCCCCCTTCGTCCCGAAAAAACGTCGTTTGCTACCCCGAACGAGCCTTTTTTTGATTTCGTCAAACTTTGAACGATCATAACTTTGTGCTCCACAATCCGAAAATCATGAATTTTTTTTTGATTTTGCATAACTTTTTGAGGACTACAATTTTTAGTAGGAGAGAATTTTCAAAAAATGAATTATTTTGGATATACGGGCCTTTGGGAATAAGTTTACCTTCTCTTTTCAGGAATCCAAGTACATTTCGAAATTATGTCTATGATAAAAATTGTAGTCCTCAAAAAGTTGTGCAAAATAAAAAAAAAATTCATGATTTTCGGATTGTGGAGCACAAAGTTATGATCGTTCAAAGTTTGACGAAATCGAAAAAAGGCTCGTTCGGGGTAGCAAACGACGTTTTTTCGGGACGAAGGGGGGACCAAACCGCTGCAAGATCTCGAAAAATTATGCGGAATCAAAAAAAATTTCATCACGATCGGATAACCGAGCACAAAATTAAGTTTTTTTAAAGATTTGACGCATGTCAGGCATTCACCGTTTTCCTCTAACACGGTGATGCAATCACCGCCTTCCTCTACAGCGGTGATGCAATCACCGTGTTTCTCTAACGCGGTGATGCACTCACCGCTCTTCTTTAACGCGGTGAAGGCCCAAACATGCGTAGATTGAGAATTTTTTTCATAACATGTGTATTCTGAGAATTTTTTTTAAAAACATGTGTACAGTGGGATTTTTTCCCAAATTCATGGGGTGATTTCCAAATACATGTCTAGTGTATTTTTTGTCAACTTCAAATACATTTCAACAACTAGTGATTTGAAATACCTCCTAACAAAAGAATGGACCTATTTGTAAAATATGAAAAGTTTAGGTACTATAGTGTGAGGCAAAACATATAAAGGTACCAAAATGTAATTTTACCATCAAAATTTCAGGACATTTTTGTAAAATTTTAAAAGTTTAGGTACTAAATTGTAAGAAAAAATAATTTTGGGTACCAAACTGTAATTTACCAAAATTTGTAGTAAGTGACCAGAAAATTAAAAATTGAAATTGAAAATCATAAAATACAAAATACAAACAAATTACAAATGAGTATCCAAACAATGAATTTGAATTACATGTATTTCAAATGCTAATATTTCAAATACCTTACATTTAAAATCCACTTATCCAAATGACACCCTAACAGATTTCCTTTCAAGTTGTTCACTCTGAATCATTTATTCCCGGCCCCTAGGTGGAAAGTTTTGTTATTTTTATCAGTATCCATGAATATGTCATGGAACAGCTATTGGCAAGTTGGTTATAGATAACATTATCAATTATTCATGATACGTTCATTGTGTTTCCAACTTTGGAGCCCATTTAGCGTCAAAGATACTGGAAGTTAAGTTTGGCCGTTTTGTGTTTTTTTTTCTCATACCTTTCAGTGCATGGTTTGGATGATGGGTTTCATTTTTCGGTTAAATATGAGTCATTGTTGTTTCTCTCCATATCTATGTATCAAATGCATCATCGAATGGGAGTTCATCAAAGGAATAGTTGGATGAGGCTTAATGTCTTAGGGTTATATGTGCTTTCTGTGAAGCAGGTCAAACATATGTTGCCTCAAGGCGACCTATGAGAGGACATGGAAGAGAGATGATTCAACTGGGTCTTCCTATAGCTGATGGACCTGCAGAAGAAGAAACCCCCAAAGGCAAGTTACAGTTTCTCTTGCAATTTTGTTAAGCCTGATTGTGGATATAATGTCTAACTAGTATTTTCATGCTGAGTGAATGATGCAGACCAGAAAACTGAACCAATCCCTCCCCTGTTGCAAGATGTCATTGACCGTATGGTTGGCACACAAATCATGGCCACAAAGCCAGATTCTTGCATGATCAATATTTTCAACGAGGTTGCTTAACGCTACCAAGTTATATATGCGTCCTGTAGCTGTTGGTTTTCCGTGGCCTGTAGGTTAATCTTTTAGTGAAAAATTTCCTGTAGGGTGACCACTCGCAGCCTTACATATGCCCTTCATGGTATGGAAGACCTGTGGCCATTCTTTGCTTGACTGGGTGTGAGATGGTGTTTGGCAGAGTGATTAATTCAGATCATGCTGGGGACTACAGAGGCTCTCTCAAGCTAGCTGCTGAGCCTGGGTGGGTATAACCTTGTTTTAGTATTTCAAAGACACCTGCATTTGTCTCACTTTGAATCATTCACTAATATATGTTGCTTGGATCACAGATCGCTTCTGGTGTTGCAAGGGAAATCCTCTGATTATGCAAGGCATGCACTTCCTGCACTTCGAAAGCAGCGAATTCTCGTCACCTTCACCAAGTCCCTGCCCAGGAAATTCTCTCCTGGTGATGGTTCATCACAGCGTTATACACCATTATCCAACACAGCAGCCCATTCATCCTCTCACTGGGGTCCACCGCCAAGTAGATCGCCAACTCATCATGTTCGTTATGCTGGGCCAAAGCACTATGTTCCAACAACTGGTGTACTGCCTGCACCACCGATTCGAGCTCATCACCCGAATGGTGTTCAGCCACTCTTTGTGGCTTCTCCAGTTGCAGCACAGGTGCCTTTCCCTTCCCCAGTTCCCATCCCTCCTCCTGTTTCAGCCACCTGGGCAGCAGCAGCTGGTCAAAGGCACCCCCCACCGCGCCTGCCAACTGTCCTCGTGCCCGTCCCTGGGACTGGCGTTTTCCTGCCTCCAGCAACAAATGACACTGCTGCTACAGACTCGGTTCCTTCCCCACCTGAGAAAGAAAGCGGGCAGGGGAAGCCTAGTCAGGGAGCGAAGGCCACGTTGAAACAGGAATGCAATGGAGAAAAGGCAGCCAAGGCAGAAGAGCAGGTTGCAGAAACTAATGGAGTGTAGCGAGAGAGAGAGAGAGAGAGAGATTTTGGCAAGTGAGAGAAGAGAGTAGGAGAACGGTGGTAAGCAATGAGTTTGGAACCAAAAAATGTAAAGAGCGGCGGCGAAACATTGGAGACTATTTGACATGGATCATCTCATAGTTACAACTGAGTGGGGGAGACTGAAAGGAGATGGTGGGAAGAAGAAGAAGAAGAGCTTGGAGGTAGGAGATGATGGTAAGAGAAGCTTTTGGCTGTGGTTCTCTTTTACCATTTGTCTCTACTTCCCATTTTTTCTATGTTTCCTGTCTACTCTGATACTATTTTTGGTGTCTCATTATATAATATAGAAGTACCACTCACTAGGATCAATTCGGTTTTGGATGAGAAAACCTCAACCTCATTCTCCTTCCATTTAATATTTAACATCATTATATCATCACCTAGCCTACTTTTGATGTTCTAACAATGAGAATCTATCATTATTGTGTTTCCATGTTGTGTCACCTAGTCTTTCATTCGCTCATTGTGGTTATGCTGAAAAGAGGGATTGCTTGTTCTCAAACGATTGCACGCATTATTGGGTACACGATCGATTGCACATTTAGTTAATGTTATTGTGCTTCCATAGTGTCACCTAGTCTTCATTCGGTCATTGTGGTTATGGTGAAAAGAGGGATTGCTTGTTCTCAAATGATTGCACCCTTTGTTGGGGACACGATTGATTCCACCTTTTGTTAATGTTATTGTGTCTTTATAGTGGTCACCAAGTCTTCAATCGGTCACTATGGTTATGGTGAAAGGAGGGATAGTTTGTTCTCGCAATGGTTGCATGCTTCGTTGGGGACACGGTCAATTGCACATTTAGTTGATGTTTCGTCAATAAGGTTGGACATAATATCATTGTCTCATCCAAATTTATTACAAGCTATTATTGATTAGGATAGAAAACACATTGAATTGGGGATGAGTAAATAGCTTGTCAATCTCAAAACATTTACGTAAATACAAAATGCGGATATGTTAATCATCAAGAACATACATATGAATTATTGAATGGCCACACTAGTATATACGAGATTTGGACGTTTTTTAACGTAGATTATGTATAATCTGTCTAAGTCACATATAGCTTGTTTGTCAAAAGTTAATAGTACATGGATTAAAATGCTAGAATCCCTTTTTTAAGGATAAAAATGCAATAGATAACTCCCGAACCCCAGGCCGCCGGCGTCGGCCCTGCCTCCGGAACCGCGGTTGGGATTTCGGTCACTTAACCTTTATACACCATGGAAAATGGGGAAAGCGTAAATCGAAGAAGAAAGAGGATGGGAGACGATACAACCGGCGAGAATCAGATTCAGGCGCGCCTCATCATCCCTGATTTCCTCTCCCTTCAAGAGTGCAAGGTTTCTGCTTCTTCCTCTTTCTTCGATCAAATCTCTTTTTTTCCACCGCCAACTTTAAAGAACTTGGGAATTTTGGCAGGAATTGGAATTCATTCATCGGAGCTGCTCCACCGTCGGTTACCGTCCCAACGTCTTCTCCACCACTCTGTCTCACCTCATCGCCACCAATTCTCCGCAGCTCATCATCCCTTTCCTCTCCATCCGCGACCGCCTGAAAGAAAAGGTCGAGGAGTTCTTCGGCTGCGAGTACGAGCTTTCCGTCGAGTTCACCGGTTTAATTAGGTTAACCCCCATTTTTAACATTCTCTCTCAAATTCTCTCGCATATATGCTTTGCTCTTAGTTTGTAGTAATCACCACTCCGCTGCTTACTACAATTGCAGCTGGACGCGGGGCGCAAGCATAGGCTGGCACACTGATGACAACAGGCCTTACCTCAAACAGCGTCACTTCACTGTATCTATGCGTCTTCTCCTTCTCTGTTTCTCCATTTGTTCGATCTTGTGGTCACTGTTAGCTGTTTTTCTGATATGCTTTCTGTTGTTGTCAAAGGCAGTCTGCTATCTGAACACTTATGGCCAGGATTTCAAAGGTGGCCTTTTCCACTTCCGGGATGGTCACCCGAATACTGTCGTCCCAACCGCCGGGGTAACCATTTCGACTTCGCTTTCAGTTACAAGTGCAGTAATAGAATGGTGGTGATGTGAAGTGAATTGTAGTCTGATTGCTTGTGAATTGTGATTGCATCCTTTACAGGCTGTTTCGATTTATACCGCTGATGACCGCAATGTTCATTCGGTGGATGAGGTATTCTTGACATATAGTTGAAGCAGTCCCAGTTGCCTGTTGTAGTATATTGTTTCTGAAATGTTTCTGTACTCTAATTTTGACTTGGAGAACATTGATTGACAGATACTTTTTTTTGATAATGGTTGATTGACAGATACTTGAAGGAGAAAGATTGACCCTTGCAATGTGGTTTAGCCGCGACAGTGCACATGATGAAGATACTAAACTTATATCCCTTCTGTCTTCAAACATGCCTTGCTCTTCAAGCAAAGTTTCTGAAGAGTTGCTGCTGCCTAAGCCTGCTTCCAGCAATATGTACTGGTTTTGTCCGGATCAAGAGCAGAATGAAGAATCAGGGTTTGATATATGTTGTGCAAGGATTTATGTTGCTGGGTTTGATGTCTATTCTACCGAAGAAGAGTTATCTTGTTCTGATTTCTCTGAACTGCTGCAGCAGCCCCTGCAACTAGCAAGGAGTAATGTGCTGTTTGAGCAAGAGTTCACCAATGTGTTGCATGCACTGCAGGTAAATTTAGCAGATTGAAATACTTGTGCTTAAAATTACTGTGTCATGTGTTCAGTATTGAACTGCCCGGCTAAAGATTCTATAAACCCATTTGCTTAAAGTCTGTGTCTTGTTCTTGGAGTTTAGGGTAAAGTGATCCCAGTTTGACCTTTTTGAACAGGCGGTACAATTTTATCTGTGGAAGGGGACAACACCAGAAGATTCTGAGGGAGTTAGAAAGAGGAAAATAAGTTTACTGTCTGAGTTGGAGCAGGGGAAGGTTGCTTCTATGAAATCCATGTTTGTGAAGGATAATGAACTGGCGAATAAGATGTTTCGTGACGATAAATGCTGTCTGCATGAATTCGACTGGGCTGAGTTCACTGTTTCTGTCGATGAACTGGAACGCTATTCTCGTAGACTACAGAAAGAGTTGGTAATGAGCTTACCTCATTGGAAAACCCAGCAAATCATATATAAAGCTACCTTGTAATGGTCTCGAGTTCTATGCCCCTGCAGAATCTGGTACTTCTTTTCCATCTCCATCTGGCATGAGTATCAGCCTGGTATGTCGTTCAAGTATTTATGTTATGTGTTAAGATTAGCCAATCATTCGTTAAGATTTGAATAAGTTACCCTTACCAAGTGATAACTACAAGACCATGGGATTAACCAGTACCATAAATGCCATTGCTGATTTCAGTGACAAAGGTACAATAGAAGGCGAGGATCACGTAGTGAGAGATACTCGAATGAATATAAAATCTCTGAAGTAGTAACAGTACTAGTGTGGTTTTGATGCTACTATATTTGGGAGACCGACAAGTCCGACGTGCTCCATTGATGCAGGACTTCACCTTCGATGCCATAATAAGCAACACGAACTTCATCCGACGAGATCTGAAGCGTCATGAACCCCTGGCCATCGTAGTAGAACTTCATCTCCTTGGGATCCCACGAGCTGATATCACCCTTCCACGCTTTCGACCCTGCCCCACTGGTGAGAAACTGAAGCTTGGTCCGGCTGCTGCTGATATGCTCCAGGCAGTGGTCGTGCCCATTCACGTACAGATCCACACCGTGTGCCTCCAAGATGGGAAGCAGTTGAGCCTCCAGCTCCACGGTGTTGCCATGGTGGCCCGCACTCTTGATCGTGTGATGCCCCACCACGATCTTCCACCTCGCCTTCGACACTCTGAGCGCTGAGTCCAGGTCAGCCATGAGGTTGGACAGGTAGGTAGCTCGGTCTGGAATGAGGCCGCTCCAGTCGTAGACGTGGTCCTCCGGGTCGGTGAAGTACTTGTCGGAGAAGGGCGTGGTGTCGACGAAGAAGAACTCGGCCAGGTTGGTGTTGAGAATGAATGATCTCATGCAGAGCCATCTGGGGTCCTTCTCTTGTAGGGCTGTGCTCAGTTGTGCTTCTACGTTGCCTCTGTAGTCGTGGTTCCCCAACACTGGAAGCATTGCATGGGGTTACTAGGTTAAAAAATGATTTTACCTGGTCGAGCTTTTTTACTGCTATTATATGGGGATGAAACTAACCGGGGAGGAGGGGTAAATTAATTACCGTTGTACCACTGCTTCTGCAGGCTGGGTGCTGTGTAGATGTCGGCAAAGGAATGGTCAAAATTGGGGTCGTCGACTCCTGTTAATCCGTCATCGTAGAAGTTATCTCCCGTTGATATCACGAAGTCGATTTTTGCTGCCTCTGCAATTGCCCCCATCTGTGAAAAGGTAACAAATTTGTGGCGCAGTAATTAGCGAATTGAGAAGTTACCACTGCGGTGAATTAGCTTGCCCAAGGCATGTCGCTTTCAAGCAACAAGTACAACCATACAAATGCAATCAAGTACGTAACAGTTAACACAATTTCTTTGATCAAATTGGTAATGATTTGATTATGTAAAATATTAAGACTAACTACTTTGACACGTATGATCTCCGATACGACATCATGATCCTGAATTATTTTTAGGCGGATGCGTGCATGTGCGAGAACAGTTGTGGGTATGGGTAACCAGTTATGAGTTAGCTATACAATAACAGCAGATGATAGGAAAAGGAAAGAAAGCTGTGACACTTTTGACATGATTAATTTTGTTTGTTTGTTTGTTGGTGGGGACTGTAGAGACTAGAGAGGGTGACCCTGACCCCACCCTAATTGTTTACAAGCATCTGCTCCTTTCTGCTACTATTAATATATTAGTTGTTATTCGTAGAGGTGGCAATTCTCAATCCAATCCATCAACCCATTAAAAATATCCACCTAATCCAATCCATTTGATCCAAATCCAATTAGATTGGTGAATTCATGGATCGATCCATGGATCCAAATGGCAAATTACGGTTTGGTACCTATAATTTTTATATTTTACATTTTGATACCCAAAATTTAATTATTTATACGAAAAATATCATTTGAAAATTATGTTTTGGTACCTAAAATTTTTCATTATGACATTTTAGTACCTAAACTTTTCACATTTTGCAAATTGGTCCTTGATTGAGGATGTCATTTGGATTCATGGATAATCCATCAATCCACTTGATCCAATCCATGAATCCATTGGATCCAATCCATTTGATCCATGAATCCAATCCATTTGATCCATGAATCCACCAATCCAATCCACCAATCCATGGATTAATCCATTTGCCATCTCTAGTCCTTCGTCATTGGAATATCTTTCGGTAACAGAAAGCTCTGATACAATGTTAAATTTAATTAAAGAATAAGAACATCGCATTTAACGTAATTTCCTTGATTAACAGGACTGGTTCATGAGACAGCCTAAACTCTCCAAGTCAAGTAGGGATGGCAATTTTGCCCATACCCATGGGTATTTTACTATCCAATCCAATTGGGTTGGGTATGAAATCCAAATATATGGATATGGGTAAAGTTTAATGGGTTTGTACCCATACCCATTTACTTTGGGTTGGGTTGGGTTTATAACAAATGGATTTGGGTTTGTACCCATGCCCAAATACAAATTACAGTTTGGTACCTAAACTTAATAGATATGCATATTTAGTACCTAAATTTAATTTTTTTTGCATATAAGTCCTCAAAATATCGATGGAAAATTACGTTTTGGTACCTAAATTTTTTTGGTCTTACATTTTGGTACCTAAACTTTTCAAGTTTTACAAATAGGTCCAATTTTTGCATGTGTAGTTAAAACACCCTCAAGTAAATGGATATCCATATCCAACCCATACCCATTTAGATAATATCCATATCTAACCCAAACCCATATACAAACCCCAAACCCATACACACATCACCCAAACCCTACCCATAATAAATGGGTCTACTTGGATTTGGGCAAAATTACCCATGGGTGGGTAAATTGTCATCCCTAATAGAGAGGTTCCCAACCCTAATGACTAAGGCATAATTACATAATGATACCTAAAAAACCTAAAGTTTCAACCGCCTCTGTGAACTGGTGATGACTATTGACTAATGGGTCCGTGGGCCTTGGTGTTGTTGGGGGAGCATATCGAATCTTGAAGGACGTATCTTCAAAGTATTATCCTCTTCCAATACTAGATCTGGGCCCACCCGTTGGGTGGCTATATATAATTTTAGTTTTATAATAAATTCATTATTGGACGGATACATTACGTAAATAGTATAAACGAAAATAGTAATTGTTCATAAAAATAAACATACATTCTAAAGTTTCTTAAATTCTCTAGTGTAAGGATGAAAGTAAATAACCAAACTCATGCCAGAGAACCATTTCATATTATAATAAAAACATATAAAAAAACCAAACATTAATGAAGACATCTACAATCAATATTCGCTTCCTTCTTGTTAACAATGTGGTCATCTCCATTATTAGATCCACTATCTCAACTATTAGAAGACCGACTCTTTCTGCTTCTCCCACATCTCAATAAAAGCGAAACTTTAATGATATGGCAAATATGACACTTCAAGTAGAATATATTACATCCAAGTCATGATATTGTTAATGATTTGTTGTTTATTCTATCTGAAACCACAAATTTCCAACATGGATAGTATCTTCCTCTTCTAAAAAAGGTTATTATTAGCATAATTTATGTTTTAATGGGTATGGTGATTTTCCTAAAGTGAATGATGAAGTTAAGAAGAATGGACATCTAAAGATAGATTGCTACCTAGTTGACATCATCTTTAATTTGTGTATGATTTCCACAAAAGTACTTGAGAGATTTTTTCTTCAACTTTTGGTCGATAGGTAGCATTAAGCATAGCACCACCAGTTCCTAACTTTAACAACTTAATTACATTGGAAGGAATACAAATTATCCTACTTATTAGAGAAAGAGATAGCATTTTATTTTTTTAATGTTAATGAGTCGTTAAATTGAAATTGGAGTTTCATCATTTCAATTCGTACACTCCCTGAAGGATGTGATGCACCTCTATCACTTTTATCACGAAAACAATACTTGTGAAACCAAATTTTGGTTTTCTAAAACTCTGAAATTTGTAGTTTCATTAAGAGACAAATCTATAAGAAAATAGGTTTCTTATAAAATTACATGTTTCCCTCTTACTAACTTTGTCAATAGCTAATCAATTCTCTTCAATTTTAATGTAATGACTAAAATGAGAAGACGGTCACCAATGTTTGCGAGAATAATATATATTGTCCTGCCCTATAGGGGAACCTTCACAACTAACCCATGTACCCAAATTGTATATTAGTAGTGATGACAATATCTTATATGAACCGCGCGACCCGACCTGTCCCAACTTGTTTGGGGCGGATATCATCCGACCTCCAGTAGCTTGTTGCGGGGCATGGGTATTGCTTACGATCTGTCCTCCCTGTCCCTGTTTTTTACCCGTTCTATCTTGATTTGCATCTATATCTACATGTATTTTTTCCTCTTTTGACCTTTCTAAAATCATGTTTATATCCCAAAGAAATTCTCTATACTATCTTTCACTATTGAGACTCAATTATTCCTTCTACTACGTTTCTCATCCATTTATGAATTATTTTTTCTATGTGTTCTTGTCAAATAATTAAATATCGACGTTCTTTTTTCAGATAACATATAAGAGTGAGCCGACCTGCCACACCCCACACTCGAGCGGGTATTATCCAACCTGACCAACGCTTAGTATGGAGTGGGTATGGGTAGTTAAGGTACCCATCCCATCTTGCCTCATCGATAATACTATATAGTAGACCCAAATTAAAATTTTAAACAATGCATGCAATTTTAAGATGCAAGTTTAAAGAATCATGTTTCGTTAAACTTTATTTTGATCTCTTTAGAATATTTTCTGATAGAAAGAAATGTTTCGATCTTACTAATTTTGTCAATAGCTTATAAATTATCTTCAATTTTAACTTACGTGAATCGAATTTTGAAAATTTAATTTGAAAAAAAATTAATTCTATAATGTCGAAAGTCAAAATAATTGAAATGATTATAAACCGATAAGAGTTATTATTTATGGTCATATCATTAGTAAACTTGTTTTGTAGTTCAAATAAAGATTGGTCAGAGTCAATTGTAATCGATTTTTTAATATTCTACTGTTAAATACTCATGGTCTTTTGCGTCTAACTTTGATATAGGTTTAAGAGACCTTGATAGAGTATACACTTATTTATCAATCAAAATACTTAACACTCTGATCAATTATTTTTAATAATATACATAAGCGATCTATATTGTTAAATCAATACATTTTAATCAGTGATTATTGACTATTTGTTGAATCTGTTAAAAGCCTATGTTGAAAATTTCAAGCATAAATCACACCCGATAATGACCGAATAATGAACAATTTGTTTAGTCAACAACACAAAAATTTGAACCAATAACAATTTGATCCACGATTTTTCAAATGGTTTGATATAGGTTTAAGAGACCTTGACAGAGTATGCACTTATTTATCAATCAAAATACTTAACACTCGATCAATGATTTTTAATAATATACATAAGCGATCTATATTGTTAAATCAGTACATTTTAATCAGTGATTATTGACTATTTGTTGAATCTATTAAAGGCCTATGTTGAAAATTTCAAGCATAAATTACACCCGACAATGACCGAATAATGAACAATTTATCTAGTCAACCACACAAAAATTTGAACCAATAACAATTTGATTCACGATTTTTCAAACGATCTGATCTATTTTCCGAGTCCTACTTTCTAGAACCGAAAAACAGCAACCAGCTGCGTTTGTGATCTCTAAGGCCCATTACCCATGTTAATTACCCATATATTAATTAATGTCTTCTGTGATATCTAAGGCCCAAATAATTTTTTTAAAAAAATGACATATGGAACCCTCGGTTGTAAATTAAAGCTTTTATGCTTACTATGGCCCATTACCCATAATAATTAAAGTAAGAAAATGACCTAATGGCCCCTCCGTACTATGCGCATGAGGCTGGAAACTTGGAGCTGATGAGGTTCCGAATGAGAATCTCCATATAGTATTTTTAGGATTCCATAGAAAAATAAACAGGCTGATGACTTTCCTTCCCTACACAATCATTAAAGCTAGCCCGCCCATTTTATGATTTGATGATTACCCAATTTTCATAAGTACTGCTACTTTCTCTCGTGTCAATGTAATTAGGTAGATTACACAACCTCTGTCTCCAACGGTAAATTACATAAAACCGAACAGATGGAGGACCATTCATCACGCCAACCTATAGAGCCTCCTTCTCGTCTCTTGTCTTGTTTTCAACTAAATAAAAAATCAAACAATGATGTCGGAGACGTGTTTGTCCCGAACCAAGGAAAGCGCCCAATGGGCATATTGGAATCTACGTCGAATTATGCTCTCCAAATGCATCAATATACAGAACAAACCCAACAGGAGAAAGCAAAATGACAAAAAACCCCCCAGCAACGTGTCAGAACAAGAGTGGTTGATTATGTTTGGTCTGATGTCTTGCCCAATAATTTTTAGCTTCCCACCATCATTGAGCCACTTGCATTGGGTTTTATGCACTGTTTAGCTTAATTAAGGACGGTAAACGAAAGAAAGTTCGAGGGCACAAGACATTATGAAAGTGGGTTAACACTCGCTTTCTTTTTTTTCCTACTACTTTTGCAGATTGAGGTTTGGACATGATGAAAAGCTAGCTAGAGAGAAGAAGGAAAGAGAGAATATTATTGCGTACCTGAGTGGCAACTCGAGTTTGGTTGTAGGCTCCTTTCCTTCCCCAGTCGCCGACCACCAACACGGCCAGGGATCCGGCGGCGGTGTCGTGCTCCAGACGCGGCAGCTCGGCCGTCGCGGCCACGAACCATACGACGGATAGCAAAACGGCCACCGAAGCTACTGGTTGTTGTGGATGGCGGGACATGGTGACCAGCCAGAAGGAGATAAAAGTAAAGGGAGAAAAAGAGATAAAGTGGCCGGGGACGAAGGAAGGAAACGAAATCCACTGATTTAGGTGACAACGAGCGGCGCCTAATCTCACTTCTATTTATATTTACACAAAGCACTAAGGGGTAGGGAGGAAAGTGACACTTTTGAATCCACGTCGGGTCGATTAAAGAAACCGAGTCCGGTGATTTCTTTTCATAAATTACAGTAATGGGGTCGAGGTAAGGCCAACGAAAGAACGAATGGTGGAACTATATATATTATATTATATATAGAGATAAAAAGAATCTAGCAGCCATGGACCGGCTTTCTTATTTTGTTTTATAAAAGGACGGTGGGTAGTAAGAAACGAGTTTTTGTTGGGTTTTACAAGATTAAACGTTGATACCGATTTGTTTTTAAAACGGTTAGGTTGGAGCAACGTTGTCAACTCGCGGGTTGACCCGGACCCGGTCGAGCTAGTGGGTCAAGGGTTAATGGATCAACCGTTTTAGCCCGGTTTGGCCCGGAAATATAGAAAGAGTCATTATATTGTACTTATCCTCATAAATTATATCAAATTTTATCTAACATATGAGTTATAACATATAATATTACACCAAAATAACATATCGTACTTAGATCCAACATATAATGAAAATTCACACACACTTCTATAACATAAATATTCAAATGTTCAACTTAGTATTCAAAAGATTGAGTTAGGCGAAAAGAAAAATTGGAAAATAGGCGCATTTCGCAAACTAAAGAAAAAAATGACACAATTTGACCTCCAATCCGGTACCTTATAGCGGTCGGCCCGGCGGGTGCGTGCGGCCCGTTTTTCTCACTGGATCAGAGTCAAATTGGGTCGACCCGTGGGTCAACCCGCGGGTTGACAACCTTGGGTTGGAGTTTCTGCATCCAACTTATAAAGTTGGAGCTAAGAATTTTTCGAAGATCAGATTGGAAGGAGAAGAGTAATTAATACTTGTAGAGCTATTGAGGCGAAGGTGAAGGCTATTCCTTTAATTGGAATCGTCTATTCTGTGAAATATGTATTTGTGCTGATAGCTCAAACGTTTATTTATCTCCTATTTTGGAAGATGAAAATGTCCATTGGTTGATTCCGGCTTGAATGAAATTTCTACCCCTCTTATTATGAAAATAATTGTTGGTGGTAAGGTTTGAATTTTAGATGTGGAGGATTTTTTATAATTATTATCGCTATGTTAACCTCTTGAAATTCTAACTATGTTGCTTATTAAGATTCAAATAATCTTATCTTATTGGTGAGAATCGATGTTTTTCTTTCTAAATATGTTACCAATTTAGGTATATTGTACAGTGTCAAATTTTTTTAGAGTTATTTTCGAATTTTTCTATACTTGCATCTAACAATATTATTAAACTGGGTCGTTTGAATGTGAGATTTAAACAAAATAAACAGTATGTGTGAGATAAAATTTGGAATACCCCAAATTATTGAGGGTCTTCAACAACAATATCCTTATATATTTATATAAGAAACCCAATACATTATCAAATCCAACAAATTATCAAATCTCCAACTCCAAGGCAAAAATGAAAAAAAAAAAAAAATCCTTTCAATTTTCAAATCCAATAATCAATCAAACAACCTATAAATTCATAAGTGGTCAAGAAATATAAACACAACAGAAATGTGAATTGGGTTCATCATGTTCCTGTCAGTTTGTCTTCCATGTTAATATGATTAATAATTAATGATTAAAATATATTATCTATTTATGCAATCATTCGTGGAAAAAGTGTGTAATTCCGGAATCATCTATGAGATTTGGCTCATCTTTGGAATTGGAGGATCTCCATCCCTCAAGGCCCATTGATTGAACCATAATTGCCCTTCCTGTACACAAGATCTACAATACAATCCATGTTTGTCCAGTTGCAAATAATTAAATATTAGCAGGAAGGACACGCACATAGGAAACTTCGGTTGTCAATTATCACCAACTAATTCCTCATTTTGTTTCCCTTGGCCAGTTACGTATTACCAGCTTCGAGACCTCTATTGCAGTTTGCAACCAAATACGTCTATTGGAAAATAGTAGAAGCGGAAGTATATATGTGTGCAAAAATAAACAAATTCACCGTGGAAGGATTAGGTGATAATTGATAAACAATTTATGTTAGTTGTTTTTTTATTATAAATGTGAGTTATTTGTTTGGATGGACTAATTATAGTTTTTTTTTTTGCTTACACGGGAGGCAAAAACTGCCGCAGAGGGAGAAGGGAGACGGGGGGAGAGAGGGTTACAGAGAGGGGGTGGAGGCAACGGAACTTAAAATGTTCCTGGGAAAAGTTTGTCCTCTAAAGTCGTCTCTAATGATAGTACGGAGCCCTTGGGGAGGTAAATCCAAAACGCACTTACCATAGGGATAGACGAGACTGTGCTTCGAGAGCCAGTCTGCGGCTCTATTCCCTTCTCGGTAAGTGTGAACTAGCTTTACCACCCAATCCTGAGCTATTCTCCGTCTGATAGCCGTCAGAAGAGTCGCTTGAGGGTGAATCCGATCATTTCTCTTCTCTATAAGCTGGAGGGCCATCTGAGAGTCGGATTCCACGATGATGGTTCTGCTGCCAGCCTGCCAAGCTACACCCAACCCATGATAGATGCCCCAGAGCTCTGCCTGAACCGCTGAACACGTCCCAAGATTGACAACAAAACCTGTAATCCAAGAGCCAAGGTGATCCCTCAAAATGCCTCCTGCACCTGCCGGACCCTGCGTCCCATTAGCTGCGCCATCCACATTGATCTTTGTCCAACCTGCCGGAGGTGGAGTCCACCCAATTTCTCTGAGCGTGCGCTGAATCGGGGCAGAGCAGCGCCCGATGATGTCCGGCGGAGCCATCCAAGCTTTGTGCCATAAATTCGCCTTGATCTTAATTGCCTGGGTCAAGGAGGGTGGCGAAAGGGTCTTGTCACTCCCTTTGAAGACGCCCTCGTTTCTGTTCTTCCAAAGACTCCACAGTGCAATGCTGAAGAAGGCTTTCCAGGGGGTCTCGATTCTCGGCATCTCTTCCGTCTGCAGGTTTTTCTTTAGCCACTGTCTGAACTGCATACTGAAGAACTCGTCCTGCTTCTCGGTGGGGATGGTGCGTGCCCAAAAGAAAGCCGCAGGGGGGCAGTCTCTGAAGATGTGGAGACAGGTCTCCTCCTGAGTCAAGCACCTGTAACAGAAAGGAGAGGAGGTGATTTTCCTTTTATACCTCTGCACATTACTGCTCACCTTATCATGTGCCACGAGCCACATAAAACAGCGGACTCTCTCCGGGACTGGCAGGTTCCAGATCGTCTTCCAGAGGTCATTAGGGTCGTTTGTTGTGGGCTGCTGCGTGAGCTGAAAAGCACTTTTAGCTGAGAAGTTGCCATCCGAGGTGGGGTGCCAAAAAAGGACGTCGTTCTCTCCCGTAAGCGGATCGACAGCACGCGCCGTGATTTTATGGACCACACTCTCCGGAAGGAAGTCTTCGAATTTTCCGGTTAGCCAGGCTCCTTCCTCATCCACGTAATCCGCAACCACGGCGTTCATCTCCTCCTCCGGGACTGGGCTGGTGGCTATTTCCTTTAGAGGAACCTGCAAAATCCAAACATCGGACCAGAAATGGGTGAGATTTCCTCTATGAATATTCCACCCACACCCTTTTTTCAGCAGATCACTAGCTTTTGATATGCTGTTCCAGGTAAAGGAACTTCCCTTTAATTGCTTAATGATGCTGAGATCCTCCCTGCCCTTGCCATACTTTGAACGCATTATCCGCGCCCAGAGGGTCTCTTTCTCTGTTAGGAGTCTCCAGCCGCACTTAGCTAACATTGCCAGGTTGACATCTCTCGCCGGGCGGAGTCCGAGCCCTCCTTTCTCCTTTGGGAGGGTCAACTGCTGCCACCCCACTAAATGGAGCTTCTTTTTTTCCTCTGAATCTCCCCAGAGGAAACCACGATTGATTCTGTCCAGCGAATTGCAGATCATTTTGGGCATCAGCTCCACCTGCATAGGATAAACAGGTATGGACGCAGCAATAGACTTTACAAGAGTCATCCGGGCTGCAAGAGAGAGATGCTTAGCTTTCCATGGTGCCAGTTTCCTTTGGATTTTGAGGAGAAGATCCTGATATCTGCCCCGGGTCACCCTACCATGAATTGCCATGACTCCGAGATATCTCCCAAGGTCCACCGTAAGAGGGATCTCCATGCGCGCACTCAGGGATCTCGCCTGTCTTCTGCTGATGTTTGCCGAGACGAACATGGCTGACTTGTGGAAGTTCACCCTCTGCCCAGAGCTACTGCAAAAGTCGTCCAAACACTGCTTGATAATCCTGATCTGCGAGCCCCCTGCTTCTGCAAACAACACAAGATCATCGGCAAAAAAGAGGTGAGAGAGAGGAGGGCCGTCCTTGGACAGCTTGATCGGCCGCCAGAGCTTATTCTGAACTGCCTGGTCGATTCTGTGGGACAAACGTTCCATACACAAGACAAAAAGGTAAGGGGAAAGGGGGTCTCCCTGCCGAACTCCTCTGGACGGAATGATGGGGGTTGACAGCTCGCCATTCCAGAGAAGGCGCATCCTGTTATGCTCCACGCAGTACATGATGCACCCTATCCATGAGCTAGGTAAGCCTATTTCCTTGAGTGTATCCCGCAGGAAATCCCACCTCAGACGGTCGTAGGCCTTCTCGAGATCGATCTTCATCACAATCCCACCCTTCTTCCCTTTCTTTCTCCGAAGGGTGTGGAGAACCTCCTGCAGGACGATGATATTGTCGGTGGTTTGCCTCCCCGGGATGAAGCTGCTTTGGCGAGGAGAGACCAGCTTCTTCATGATCGGCTTCAACCTGTTGGTGATGGCCTTCGTGATGGCTTTCAGGCAGACATTGTTAAGAGATATGGGTCTGAGCTGGGACGCCATTTCCGGGTGCTCCACTTTAGGAATGAGTACCACCGTCGAATCAGTGACATTTTCCGGGAGGCCACCTGCATTAAAAAACTCCAAAGCCATGTTAATCAAAGATTTTCCCACAACTCTCCACTCCCGCTGGTAGAAAGCTGCATGGAATCCATCCGGGCCAGGGGCTTGGAACGGTTTCATCTCATGGATCGCCCGATGGATGTCCTCTGCTCCAAACGGTCTCAGCATAGCAGCAAAATCCTCTTGGCTAAGGCGGGGGAACGCCCCTCTGGGCATGAGGTCCTCATAATTGTTATTATCCTGCACAAACAGAGAGACAAAGACATTATAGACAAAGTCAGCCAGCTCCTGGGG